ACACAGTCTTATCTATAGAGGCAGACACTCTATAGATAAGGATATTTCTGAATATAGATAAGACACTCTGTAGATAAGGATATTTCTAAACAATGGACCAAGAAGTTAATTTTAAATTAAATTTTAAATTAACTTCTGGGTCCATTGTTCAGAAATATCTTTCAAATGTCCAATGTTAAAATGTTTTGCTTCGTTCTGTATTTAAAATTTGAGTTTGAGTGTTCTTCTCCTTTAATTGTAATCTTTAGTTCCTCCTAGTTCCCTCTAGTGTCCAATTTTTAAAGTCTTATTATGTTTTTTTAACAAAAAAAATTCAAAATAAAAGCATTTTCCCACAGGAAGGATTCTTTACACTAATTCCAAAATCTTATTTCAAATTTAACTGGACCCTTAGTCCATTTGTAACTTTCTAAAATCAAAGTTTTAATCACCCTATTGCTGTTTATTCAAAAAAAATTTTTTTTAAGTCCTTAAACTTGTATTTAAAACTTCTTTTGCTAAGGATTGAAGGAAATAACAAAAAAAATTCAAAATAAAAGCATTTTCCCACAGGAAGGATTCTTTACACTAATTCCAAAATCTTATTTCAAATTTAACTGGACCCTTAGTCCATTTGTAACTTTCTAAAATCAAAGTTTTAATCACCCTATTGCTGTTTATTCAAAAAAAATTTTTTTTAAGTCCTTAAACTTGTATTTAAAACTTCTTTTGCTAAGGATTGAAGGAAATTCACCCAGTGCTGTAAAACGTGTCAATCCAAAGGTTCGTAAAAGCTGAAGAGTAGTTAACAAGCAATTTCTGAAAGTATGCGATCCCAGTGCACTTTCAAAGGTGCCAACTGTGATTTGAGCAAGATGGCTATTCACTTGTCCCCCAGAGCTCCAAACCCACTGGAGACTGCTGCCTTGTGGTCTCCTCACAAGGAGCAATTGTCTGGAGCACTTGGTGATCTCAAGTCCGGAGAGGTTTCGAATCTTCAGTCTGCCATTTCTTCCCTGGAAGTCCTGTCTTGGTGTGATCTGATCATTGCAAACTAAGAGAGGAACAGTGACTTCTCTTGATCTTAACATTAAATTTCTGTTACTGCATCCTAAGATCCCATTTGCTTTTTTTGCAGCTGCCTCATACCACTGAGTCATATTCAACAATGATCCCCCCTTCCTATATTCTTGCCTTTGATTTTTTTCCCTACCCAAATGTAGAACTTGGCATTTGTCTGTGCTGAAATTCATCTTGCTGTTTTGCTATCCCTGCTATCTCTGTGTCATTTGCAATTTCATACTAACTCATCTTCCAAGACAATTATAAATATGTTGAACAGCAGAGAGCCTAGGACAGGGCCCCGTTGGAAGCCACTCATCACTTCCCTCCGGCTTCGTGCAGAGCCACTGATATATATTTGTTTGGCACAATTGTTCATCTAGATCTGTATACACTTAATGGTAGCATAATACAACCACACTTTGCCATCTTCTCTACTAGAATCTGGTGGGAGTTTTTTGCCAAATGCTTTGCTAAAGCCAAGGTTTGCTACGTCCACTACATTCTTGTGTTCAGCTAAACTGGTCATTGTGTCAAAAAAAGAACTGGTTTGATTTATCAGATAAACTATGCCGGTTCTTGCCAAGCAATGCATTCTTTTCTAAATCTTTGCAAACTATTTAATAATAAAATAATAATCACCATTTTTCAGGCCAACCCTTTTCTACTGGGAGATGGTTGTGGAAGAAAATGGAGGGGAGAATATGATATACATACTTTGAACTCCTGGGGAAAGGATGGGATTGAAGTCTAGTTGAAATTTTTTGTTGTTGTTGAAAACCCCAGATTGGAGAAGACTTCCTGTCCTGGCAAACATGTCCATGAAAATCCTAGTCCTTGACAAAGTTGTATTAGCCCATCTACCAGGACATATTTTGAGGATTTTTGCTTTTTTACTGATTACTGTATGCTTTGCTTCCTTCCATGGAATGTCAGTGGAGTACACCAGGTTATTCAGATAGCCTCCCACCTTGTAATGGACACCCATTGCTACTTAGCTACACCAAAATGACTCTGTCTAATGGCCTGGAAGGAGAACTGGATGTGCATATGTGTGTGTGAGTGTATATCTGGGAGTAAGAATAATTATTTTTCTGCAAATTTCGCTGGAGAATTCCTTAATGTGACAAAGCTTCATACTGGTAATCAAGTTGAGTGGCCACTATGCAAATCTAGACCTGAATACCTGTCCTTTCTTATTGAGAACTGCATTCATGATTTGTTTTTCCACCCACTCCATGGAGGGGGTCTCCTCCATTTTAAATATACTCCGTTTTCAAAACAGCCTCTCCCGATCTGTGCCACCTATTGTTTTAGATACACGTTCTGTTGCAGAAAAATATCTCTTCGCTGTTTACAGTATTGTGGGGTTGGCTATATTAGACTGTTTCAGTTGGAAAACCACTGCCTCATTCACTCTCCTCCTTTGTTGCACCTGGTTATGTGGTCTCCCTATCTGCTGTAGATATTGTGGGGAGCTCTATGATCTCTCAGTGATGGTGAAGAATTACCTTTTAAAGAGAGCAACCCCCCTCTCCTTCCCAATATTGACTTCCTCCCAAGAAGATGAATGGCTGCAAAGCAGTGTTGCGTGTGCTCAAAAACCCATTTGCAATTTGTGCTAGGGTGAGGCCTATTGCTACAGACTGCTACAGCCTGACACTTCAGAACTGCTTGTAGCCTTTAGAGTCCTTGGGAGGCAGCCCCCAGAGCCTCTCCACAACTCGCTAGTGAAACATGCAGATGGCGGAAATTGCTAACTATATAGGAACGAAGCAGACTCACTGCTTTTAATTTCATTTAATTGTAGTCATATTGAAATTTGGTCTTGACTGACTGTTGTACAGAATGCAGTTCCCCTAGCGTGTCCCTCAGAAGTCACGGTCTGCCCAAACATTTAGGGCTTAGAGATTTTAGTGCTGCTGTGAGGAGATGCTCAGAAATAGTTCCCTAAGTCTGACCCAGCCATTGGAAGAAATTAAGGAACTACATGCAACATTTGGCTAAGAACTGTGGGGAAGAAATAATTTCTTTCCCCCCTCAGTTCATGCTTCTACTGGCATTTGTTCCTAAATACCCAGGAATCTGGGACTGATATTTAATAGGGTTGTGCAGCGCTTCAGATTCAAAAGCAAAACAACAAACCATCTTTGAAATGCACAGGGCTTCTCACAGAGCACCTGTCTGCATCTCCTCAAACCAGCTGCATCTTCTCCTGAGATTGCATGACTCTCCTTCGCAACTGCAGCGCAGTCTCAGGAGAAGATACAGTTGCTTAAAGAAGGGGCAGGCTGATGTTATGTGAATGCTGCATGGTGCTCTGAATCCCCTTTTTGCCTCTGAATCCAGAATACTACCCGGCCCTGACATTTAATCTAGTTCATCTGCTTTTGGGTTTGTTGAATTACAATGGCCTTCATCCATAAGCAGCACGACCAGTGGACAGGATGGGAGCTGTGATGCAATGTATCTGGGAGGAGATTAGTTGGGAAACTAGAATGTTTTCTTACTCGTCTGCAAATCAGTGCCTTAGTTATTACAGAATTATTATGGGGTTTTAACTGTTGAAATCTGAAGAGTCAGGAAGACTTGATTATTTATTGTAACTGATCATCTGTACACAAATTCCAGTTTACCTTCTGTTGAAAACTGACACGGGAGTTTTCCACATTTTGAGAGAAGAAATAACCAAATAATGGAATAAGCCCTAAAGTTCTTAACATATCTTTTGAAAAGAATCTCTCAAAGAAACATTGCCCCTCTTCCCTTCCCTTCCCCCAAAATGCATATAAACCCACTAATTTTGCATCAGCATCTCATCCTCTGAAGCCTGCATGTTCCCAAATATGTTAAGAGGATATTCTGGCCACCAAAAGATTGCCCATCCTGCAATTAATCTGCGCTGGACTTACTGAATTAAGTTTCTGTGTTGGCATAACATATTGAGTCATAAACTAACAAAACAAGTCAAGTTTATCCCACATGCTGAGCTCCCCACCACCAACAACTGAAACTAACCAAAATGCCATGGTATACAAATGCCACTACTAGGTCTTTATCTGATCTGGTTACATCATGTGAACCCAGTCCATCTCATTCAGTTTCTTCCTGCCATCTTCCTCCTCCTCCTCTTGATTTCTCCAACAAGTACAAAGCAAGACCATGAAAAGTATGTCACTTTTGGATTACAGGTTTTTCATTTCTGCTCTTACCGGCTGCTTGTGGTCTTTCTACCTGTGAACTTGGCTGCTGGCTTTTCTAACAAATGTCCATCATTCTAGAATTACACCATTCATCTAACCAAGCCATGGACCACCAGCTTCCATTAGAAAGCCTATGCTGTATCTTCTATCCCTAGGCATCCCCTCTTTTTTTACTCCTACTTTTGGGTTGTGTTTCTATTTAGTGTTAAAAACTCCAAATGCTGTCCAGACTAAAATTCTGAATAAGGAATATTAAATAGACTGAATGCCAAAGAAGATACAGGAAAGAAAAATGTTTGTATTTGCTGTATCAGCTTAACCCTAATTTGCCTATTTTTCACAGGGCTGTTGGCATGTTCCACTAGCCTGCTCAATGCTGTGTTTCACTCTGGAGTCAACACCCATCCCAAGTCTACAGTATCTACTGTCGGTTTGCAGGTGGCATGGATACCTTCCACACGGGTGATTTCTTCTGGATGTTGGCACTTGCAGTCCCGATCCTGGTGGTTCTACTGGTACTTTGTACTGATTGTCGTGACCCTGCCTTAGACAGTTAAGTTTTGCCCTCCCTGTTCCTAAATGTTTATTTTTGGGAGGAACCTCTAGTTCCTGAATCCTCTCACCCCCAGGCAAATTGTAGGGATCTCCTAATTTCATTGGTGTTTTTTTTTTCTCTTTCTGAACAGCACCCTCTATTGATGACTACCAATACAAGTGAGTCCATGGCTATCTTACCTTGGGGCAAAATAAAGGATGGGGAACCAGAATTCAGGCAGGTTTAGAAAGCAGAAGTGAAATGTGGTCTTTGGAATAATTTCTGCCCCTGGGAAAAAAGGGGGTCGGTTTCCCAAATGTTCTCTTCTGTGCAACTAGGAAACATCCTACATTTGTATCTGCTGTCCCCTATCAAATGCACACTCCAAATGTTATGGGGCTATCCAGAACTAGGTAGCAATCAAAGAGTCTAGGATGGGGAAAAGAGAGGCCGTAACTGTTTGGGGCAGCCCATGCTTTGAACACTCCATTTGATCCTTGGCATCTCCCAATTTAAAATAGAGGAGAGGATGAAGTGGCAGGTGATACAGAAGATAGCCGCTTGTCACCTTGAAAAGTTGGTGCCACATGAACCACTGGTGTGTCTTCAATTTTTACTTCAGCCTTTGCACAGTTGAACTGGTTTGAAGATACATTGAGATGCCCTTGTGAGTGTTCTATATTTCGAGAGCTCTTAAAGCTTGGTTGGCCCTGGTTTAATCTTATCTTGAAATACCTCACAGAATAAATAAATAAGACACGCACAGGCTTGGCCTCATACACAGGCTGACCAATTCCCAACTTACCCTGTCAGCCATCTTACCGAGCTGGAATTATTGACGGTCTTCACTCTGAAAGGCAAGGTTATAAACATTACAAAATCTATACAAAGCAGTATGAATTAGTTGCAAAAGCAAAATGCATCATCAAATATATGACGTATAAAACATTTCGGTAATAATGTAACAGAAAAAATAGCAACCATGAGTAAAACTTTATGTCAAGGTTGAATGAAGTTATGTTGGAAAAGACTCTAGAAATGCCCTTTACTATGACTGTTCTTATGAATTGGTTCATGCATCATGCAAAGCCAAAATGCAGTTTGTTTAATTTCGCCTAACATCTTGTGTGGACCCTGTCATTATGGGTGTGATCGATGGTTTATAGTTAGCATGTTGTGCTAACCCACTCAATGCTTATTCAGGAAACCATATTAAGCAAGTATGGCTTAACAGTGTGTGTGAGCCCTGCCATAATTTGATACATGCACACCAACAATACATTAGATGAGACAAGGAAGTGTTTGGGCCGTACCATTCTGTAGCCTCTGTATGGAAATGCATGGTTGAATGACTTGTCAAAGATATTACACAGAAATATCTGAGTAGGAGAGAGTTGTAGTCCTCTATTCATTATTCTTGCTTTTTCTCTTTCTTCAAATATTAGTAGCATTCTGTAATGTGATTTTTTTTAATATCTTAAAGTGGTACAAGCAGTTGGGAAATAGTCTTTGAACTTATTCTGCTGGATGAGCTGCTGTTGTGAATGTATAACTTGACTCGCTTAACTGAATTGCAACACCGGTAAAGTTGCTCCAGAAGTTTTTTTTTTCCTCCTGGTTGCACAATACTTGGAATGAATGCAGAATTATGTGGGATCCCTTGTAGCAACACTTTGGCCTACAATAGGCCACGTAATTCTTATCACTGGCAGCTGCAGAGTACGGCTGCTAATTTCTCTTTCAAACCAAACCACTGATATTCTGACAACATTCCTTTGAGCAATGACTTTTTGTGTGTATATGCGTGCAGGGAACCTAGACTGATTTCAGTTGTCCTGGTTATTTGTGCCGATAAGAAAAGAACAAGATGGTTATAATTTAACATTCTTTCAAGGACGTTCAGCGCAGATACTTTTTTTATTGTAACATTTATTTTTTAAAAAGGTTCACGGAACTTGCAAGACTTCAATGCACAAACTTAAATGGTTCTTGAAGAACAGATTTCGATAGTCATAGAGGAAAAGTGATAGCAGTGTTAAAATAGGAATATTAAAATGTTAATTTAAGCAATTGACATTTCCAACTTGCTTAGCTTAGCAGCATAAGCAGTACATGTGGCAGTATTTCTCTGGCTTAGGCAGAGAGGCGGGATTCATGTTGTATTAAGCCATGATCTTATTGTATAGAATAAATCACATTGGCTGGGTTCAACAACACTCATCTATTAATCAAGGTTTATAAGTTGCAGTGGTTGGTTTCACAAAAAATATGAAATAGTTGGATTGGATTGGACTGGATATCTGCTTTTATTGTTGTCTGTTGTTTTTAATGTTTTGCTAACTGCTATTCTGGGAAGCAGGCAGCCGTATAAATTGATTAAATTAATAAATAAAAAGCAGAACAAGTAACATTTGCTTGTTAAGCAAAATCGAACAGATCATATTTTGGCTTAGCATAATATACGTAGCTCAGTGAAATAGTGTGTGTGCTTTGCATGTAGAAGAAGCCAGGTTTATGCTTTGGCTTCCCTGGATATTGCTGGAAAGGGCTTCTATTTTAAAGCTTTTGCAAGTAGAAGCAGCAGCATTGCCAACTCATCTGAAGGGTATCAGGTTTGCAAAGGCTTGCATAGATGATATGGAGCGATGAGCTAATCGTTCAACACAGTCTAACAGCTGGGAAAAGGAGTTTCTGATGGTGACTGCTGAGCGAGACAGTTGAAAAATGATAACTGCATCTTTCAGACATATGTTCTCTACCCTCCAGAAAATAGACTGAATGGTTTATTATTTTCACAGGCCTTCAACTAATATTCATTCCCAGACTTTCAGAGTGTTGAGGCGTCCTCCCTGTAAGTAGACCTCAGTTTTCCCATATTCCAGAACTGATCTGTTTAAGGACTACATTACCTCCTCAGATCCTTTGTTCTTTTTAAACTTATGGTTGAAGATTTTGGGAAGTTGGTCCAGCCATGTAGTGATCCATCTCAGAATTCAGTAGCCCTGCATTAGATTTGAACTCTCAGCTTCACCGTTCTCAAGCTATGCAGTCTTCCAACTGTAGCCTTTAGCATAAGATGCCACCTATTTAATGAAAGTGGCATTTTAGGCTGAAGGCTATAACTTAATAAGATAGTATAGCATTTGAGAGTGTTGAAGGTGAGTGTTTGAACCTGTTTTTAATTTGGACAATCAATTTCTAAGAACTTCAATCCAGCATTTTATATTACATTGTGTACATCTACTCGTGTACTCTTCTGGCATGTGTGTATATATGTATACACACCCATTTATACTTATCACAGGAAAGTTTTTAAAAAAGACTGGCTTAGATCTAAGATGAACTAAGAATTGTAATTTAAATGAATGGAATCAGGTAATATTCAGTGGATTCCAGGTGTAGCTAATAGTTTGGATCTTGCAGCCAGCCCTACCATTAGATGGACTCTGTGAGACAAAATGCGATGGCTGCCTGAGGCAGTGAATTTTCAGCTTGAAGAGAAGCAGCAAATGGTTCACTATTGTGTTAGCTTACCATTATTGCACTGGCTCTTTGGGGGATGGCCTAAGATTATATTTCCCTGCCCTAAACCAGGAGTGGTTATAGAAGAAGTACTTCCATTGCTCTCCAAGTACTTCCATTAGTGTATATAGTCAAGTATTTAGTTTTCTTTTTTCTCTCATTAGAAAAAATATCTTAAGGACAGAAAGATGAAAGAAATAGTGAGAAAATCTTGAGTTGACTTGTTGAAGAAGTTGCTGAGCTCTTGGTAACATTTTGTAAATAAGCCCAAATTCCTCATTTGGAAGCTTCCTTGTTTCAGTTTAATTCCTTTTTTTCCCCGGAAGAAAAGAGTTGAGTGGCTATAACAAATCTGAACGAATGAATGAATTGTCATGCACAACACTCTCGGTTCTTAATCTGTGGCTTTTAAAAATATGGTTTAAACTTGGCTAGGCCAGCCGCTCCCTCGTGCTGCTTGTTGCTTTGAGCCTCAGAAAGTAAAAGAGGAAGCTGGATTCTGCCCAGTCCTACCTGAGATTGTTTCTTTTTTCCCCCCATCCCTGTTTGCAGCTCCACCTTGGTCTGCCATCCAGTCCCAGCCAGATTTGCAGAGGTGAGCTGCGCTCCTTCCCACTGTTCTGTGTGTGTTGAGTGTGTGAGACATCTGCTTAAGGTGAAGGACGCTGGGAGGTGAGTGGCAGCAGCAACAAGACACAAAAGGGTACGGCTTTGTGTCCTTAGTCACTTGCCACATGCCCTCCTAAACTAGTAACTCCACTTAGCTGCATTGCAGGAAGCTGTCCTGCCTTCAGAGTTGCAATTAGATTCATTGTTAATGCAGGTGCTTTTGTACGTAATACAAGGAGAAGGGCCGTGTGGTTTGCTTTCGAGAGCAAATGCTTTGTCCCTTTGTCTTGCTGCCTCTTAGTCCTCTAATTCCCTCCCCAGCCGCTTTTCCACAGGGAAATGGTAAGAGCGAAATCGAGACTTAGGCTGCCTGTGGGATACACCTGCTACCTGCCAGAATAGCGAGGGATTGTCCTGTTAGAAAGGATTGATTGCTTCCTTGTATCAAGCTGGGTGGACTGGTGTGAGGGTTTGTAGGTTGGAATGCTTGGAGAAGTGGGTGGGAAATTCATATAAGGTTTACGTTGAAAGCGACAGAGTCTAGATCAGGAGTGGGTAATCTGGGGAGCATACATGTCCCAGCACCTTTTCTTGTGGTCTTACAAAGCATCCCAAGATTATGCTTTGAATTTTAGTAGCAAACCACTGAATTATGAAAGGTGAGGGTTTTTTGCTCTTAAAGAAAAAGAATTAAAATAAATGTACAACAACTTATATGTTGGAATTAAATTTCTCCCCGGTTAATAGCAAAAAAAAGAGATAGAGGCCACAATTTCTCTCTTCCTCCCACTGGTGATATCATAGTATCATTCTTACTCTACTCAGTGACTCTCAGTTGAAAGAAATGGCAAAGAAATAAAAAGTTAAGAAAATAAAGAGAGGCACCCCATCTCTGGTAGATTATGTTCTTCAGGTATTTTCACATGTATTAACCCCTCTCTTCCTTCTCCCTCCTCCGGATTGTAGCAGAGGCCCTGCTTATAGCTTTACTAGTCAGACACCTTCATTCATCAAAGTTGAAGATAATGGTAAGTTGTAAAGACTCATATGTTTATGTGTGCACTTACACAGACTTAAATTATACAACTGAGCTTCCTTTTCTGCAGAGATGTGTCCAAGAAAATGAGAGGCTATCCATGTCATAGCTGCTTTAGGATTAGAAATCCTAGCTGCTGGAATAAACAGCCTTTTGAAAATCTGTTGTGAAACAAAACAAAGATAGAGGTCAAAATGTACTTTTGGGAATCTACTGTAGGCATTCTGACTTACATAATCTCCCTTTAAAAAAATTGTCTCTTTTCAGAAAGTGTTCCCAGCTATGAAAATGAAGGTAAGTAGTAGCCGTAATCATCAATATTCTTTTTCTCTTCCCCTTCCCACAACCTTTACCTGGAATGTGCAGCTTGCCTCACTTGTATTGGATCATTTCTACATTTTGATCTAGACTTGCGTGCAGTACAGTGGCTCTTCTTTGGATTCTGGGAGCTTCTTTATAGATTCGGTGGGGTTGCATTTTCGGGGGGGTGGAATTCATTTATATTTAAAGAGGAACATCTAACCTTTTTGAACTTTGTCTTTCCAGAACAAGCTTGCTTCATTGATGATGATGAAAATTATTTCCCTGGATACATGTAAGTCTTTGGGAAGGATGGGAGATAGGGGAAGAGTCTATTTAGGTCAATATAGTGTTATCTTAGTCTCCAAATAGTTTAGTCTTCCATCATTCCCAACTTGCCCAGACAGTAGTCAGGGAATGTAGGATTATGGTACTTTAGTTGCACTGTATTGGTTCTTCTTTGAAATGCTCTCCCTGGCCTCCAATATTTGGAAGATGCTACCATTGGGTGTTTTAGACATCTAGGTGAAGAATAACACGTACCTTATGCAAAAGCTACTGTATGATTTTTTTCTCATTCCTCGCTATATGTGTGTGTATGTGCATAATGCTGAATTTTAATATATAATTAGTTTCTTTGTCTGCATCTGAACATTTCAGATGTTTTACAACATAGAGTGTAAAAAATGATACCAAGGTGTTTTAATGGAAGAATATAATTTAGAAGTTGAATTAAACAATAGTGAATCATAGACGTGTGAGATGGACCATAGTGGTTTATTCATTAAAATATCTGCATTGTATTTATAGAATTTCTGTTTCTTGGATTTTTTTTCATTGTATAACATTCCTTGCCAATTTGTTCAAGGCTGCTCATCAGTTTAATGACCATGGCTTAGCAATTTAAGAGAGGTGGGGAAAAAAAGGGAAAAGAATGAACAGCGGAAATAGAGGCTAATACTAATTTATAACTGCTAATGAAGACAGTTCTGAGAGAGGACAAGCAATATTGATTCCCCACATAGAGGAAGTCTGACACAAGAGCGGCTTATTGGTCAATTCTACTCTTATTGGGTCTCGCTTGTCCTCAATAGAGAGGTGTTGCCTGATGTTCCGATCATAGAACAGAGGAACAAGGATCATGCGTCTTCTGGTGAGTTGGCAACTGGGAGGATTCTCTTGTTCCTCTTTGTCATGGCCTCTTTAGTGTTGTTGGATTAAGCTGCCTTTCTTTGTCTTTGGGTTTCTCATGTTGCTCTCACATGATTTGTTGATCCACATGGTGCTAGAGTTGGAAAGAGAGGGACCTCAAAAACCAACAAGATTTAAGAAGAACTAAGGGGAAAAAAAGGAAGGGCACCCTTAGAAGAAAAGTAAGTTGAAGAAGAAAGCAGTCTATCAAACACGTACATTCCTTCCATGTTGTATGAGGCTGTTTTAAAAATCTTTCTTTGAGTAATTCAGTAAACACTCTATTTGCTTGATCTTAAGGATATGCAGAATGTTTTCTTTTGGGCTGTTGAGCATTTCAGAAGTAAAACTTCACATAATACTTGAAACAACCCTTATACCTGAGAAACAGGTTTGCCCTCAGAGATGGGGGGTGGGTGGCGTTTTGCCCTGAAAATCAAATTACTTTTTTGATTTACCCTCCATAGTTGACACAGCATCTGTAATGATGATGAGAAATGTAGGAAATCCAGGTGATGTGTAATTGTTAGCTTTTTCCTCTGTAAAAATAAAGTTCAGAAAAAACATCACTGAATGTTTGTAAATGTTTGAAAGAAAACTTTTTTTTTAAGATGAGAAAGTAGCATTAGAAATAACGTACAAAAACTTTTTCTGGGATCTTTAAAGAAACTACATAGAAGCTGAGATCTCTTCCCAGGGTATCATGAAGAGAAGGGCATAACCTCATAACTGATCTGTTTCTGCTGGCTGAGAGTGGAGATCTTCTACTTCTCAGAGTTTGGAATATTTTCAGCAACTAGTATGGTTACTTTGAGAGCTTTACTCACTTCAGATCTGTGCTGATCAACTCAAAAGTAAATCCCACCTTGTTCAGAGATTTTATACCTAGATAAGCGTGCAGAATATTGCAATATCTGATGTGTTTTAAACTTTGATTTTTCTAAAAAAGATAGTTTATTTTGCAATGACTGTAGAAGATTTGTATGTATTTCACTATCTTAACATAATTGTTTGTTGAAAACTCTGAGTAATATGTATTGCTTTGTCCCTTTTAAGCACACTCTCCTCCACCTGATTTTTTTTTTTTTTTTTGGTAGAGTCCATAGTGGACCAATATGAAAATGTGCCTGAGTCCCAACGACATTCACTTGGTGAGTGGAAAAGGTGGATTGATAGGAGGGACAGGACTGGCTAAAAGAATACTAGGTGCTGGAGTTGAGTCTAGAAGATGATCTGGTTGGCACATAGTGACAACAAAGCAGGATACAATGGTCTTCTCATCTATGAATGAGCAAACATTCTTTGGAATACCAGCCTATAGTTTTAAAAAATAATTCTGCAAGACCCTTTTTTCCAGATATGCTGGTAGGGTATTTGTTTTTATTTATTATATTTATTTAAAAATTTAAAATTGCCCCATATCCGAAGCTTTCAGGCTTGTTGTTTTTAGTTGTTAAGTCGTGTCCGACTCTTCGTGACCCCATGAACCATATTGCGCCAGGCCTT